TCTTCATTCCATGTCCTCAACTTTCCGTTTCTTACATTCTATAGCTGTTGTGTATCTTTTTTTTTCTTTCTTACTCTCTAACTTCTTTCTGAATTTTTGGCTCTTCTACTGTCCAATTGTTTTCAGTTGCTTTATATTTTCTTTAATTTTAGATAAATTTCCAACATTCTTCTGGAAATTACTACCTTCAAACAACTTCCCGTATTTATATAAAACCTAGTCATAATATTAGCTTTGTTAAGTAAATCATCTATGCAACCAACTTTTATACTTAACAATCTTTTCTCAAACCAAAATTGTTAAAATTACTGTTAAAAGATGTCACTGGATGTGCGTGAGTCCAAATGTTACGTTGAATGTGTGAGTCACTTCGGCCTCAAAAGCTACGGCGAGGCCGAAACTTCCAATTTGAGCCCAAAAGTATATATACGTGAGAGAATTTGAGGTCGAAAGTTATCATTAACATATATATATATATATATATATATATATCTTTCTGGAGGATTTGTACAGCTTCCTAACTCGTAGGTTGTAGGAGAAGCAATTCGCAAGATCATGTAAGGACCATCCCTTTTTGGGGCAAGCTTTGAAGAGAATCCACTTTGGAGCTACTGAGAGTATGAGATTTCAGGAGAACCTTGTCACCCTTCTTGAATACAGCTAGTCGTCGTCTGGAATCTAGGCGGGTTTTATGGACATCTTGTTTCTTGCAATTTCTATCCATTGCCTCAGACAGAGTAGTAGCTAGCTTCTTTAAGTAAGGAGTTATTCTTGGTATGAAATTTTCTGCATCAATCACTTTGCGTAGATCATATACAGGATCATAAGGAGCTCGTATGTCCCTACGAAATGTGAGAAACGAAGGACTATATCCTGTAGAGTCGCAACATGTAGAATTTATGGCGAATCGAATGCTGCTCAGGTGATGATCCCATTCTGAGTGGTGATCTTGAACCAAAATGAGTCTTCAATTCGCGGTTCTTCCGTTCAACAGGGTTACTCTCTGCATGATACAAAGGAATGAACGGAGTTGTGATAACAAAACAATAAGTAATTTACTGCATTACGTCACTGATAAATTGTACGCCGTTATCAGAAATCATTTTCCTCGGAGTTCCAAACCGCAGGAATATTTCTTCGATGAGAATTTTTGATTCAGAGTCAGCTTTTACTAATGGGAAAAATTCTAACCATTTTGAAGCAATATCCTCAATTATTAGGATCCATCGATTCCCCCTGGGAGTTGCCGGTAGAGGGCCAAATAGATCTACAGCCACAACTTCGAAGCTCTGGGAAGGGGCTGGGGTGTGAAGTAGGCCCGCAGGTTGACGATTCTCTGGTTTATATCTCTGGCATTCCATACAACCTTTTATATGGCGAGCAATATATTTTCTCATATCTGTGAAGTAAAATTTTGAAGAGATCTTTTGCAGGGTTCTTTCGATGCCGTAGTGTCCCCTTGTAGGCGAATTATTGTTTTGGGCCAAAACATCTTCACGCAATTCTTTGGGAATCACTAACTGGGGATCTTCAGAGTCCACATATGGGTTGAAACGGAAGAGAACATCATTGTTCATCACGTATCCCCTCCCAGACCATCTAGACATCTCTAACGGATCTTCACCTTAGAGAGATAATATAATAATCTTGATCTCATCATCTTCCATTTGTTTCTGTCGCATAGATTTAGCATCGTAGGTCAACACTAACGAAGTAGCTCTGTACCTTTTCTTCTTCATCCGAGCAAAAAGGTCGAGACAACAGATCAGCTACTACGTTGATTTTATCAGGAGTATATACAACGTCCATATTCATGCCTTGAAGGCGGAGCGCCCAACGAGCTAAACGACCCGAAGGCGATTTTAAAGTCAGCAACCACCGTAATGGTTGATGATCCGACGCTATAACCACTTTCGCACCTTCTAGATAATGTCGGAATTTTTCTATAGCCCATACTACGGCGGTTTCTGGAGTAGAACTGCACCCAAGGCGTAACAACTTGCATCTGTTCTAAGGATATACGGCTTGGTCTGGTCGGCTTGAGCAAGGACTGGAGCGGTAGTCAATCTTTCTTTTAACGTCTCGAAGGCTCTTAATTCGGCTTCACCAAACTGGTAAGACGCATTTTTCTTAAGAAGATTAGTTAAGGGACGTGCAATTTCGATAAACTCTGAAACAAACTTGCGATACCAAGTACATGTCTGAATGAAACTTTTCAGCTGTTTGCGATTGCTTGGAGGTCTCAACATTTTGATAGCAGCTATTTTGTCAGGGTTAGTTTTAATTTCATCACTGGTCAGTATATGGTCGAGAAATTTGATTGAGTCACAGAAGAACGAGCACTTCTTACGTCTAGCAAGAAGACCAAAAAGTTTTAAACGCGAAAACACTGTAAGTCTATTATGTGCTCCTCAAACGTTTCTGAAAGTACCAAGATGTCGTCTATATATATGAACACTGCAGTGTCATTCAAACCGGATCTAAATCTGTCCATCAATCGAACGAATGTTGCGGCCGCGTTTTTCAACCCGAAAGGCATTCGATTGAATTTAAACGTCCCAAATGGAGTCACAAAGCAAGTTTTGTCATGATCTTCTTCAGCAACAGGAACTTGCCAGTAACCTGTTTGTAAATCAATTGTAAACATGAATGGTGTTTGTTTAGCGGTGTGAAGAATATCGTCTATTCGCGGCATTGGATAACTATCGCTTACCGTTGCTGAGTTTAGCTTACGATAATCTACGCAAAGACGATAGCTGTCTCCTTTTGGAGTTAAAACCACAGGGCTGGACCATGGTTACTCGCACTCTTCTATAATTTCTTGTGTTACTAATCGATTCAATTCTTCACGCAGGAATTGCTTCTTTGGTCCGTTCAGCGGGTACGGTGGTACGGAGATTGGTACAGCATTTTGTGTGTTAATTGGATGCGTAGCAAACGTAGTTTATCCCCCTTGTTCGAAGATGGCGCTATTCTTCTGAAGTAGGGTGTTTATTTCATCTTTTGTCGTGTCTTTAATCTTCTGAGTTTCATTTTGGCGTAGGGTTATGGGATTAATGTTTACGGAGTTTGTTTTATTTCCATATTTAAAAGTATGTTCTGGTTTATCTCTAAAAAACCAACACTCGTTTTGGAAATCTATACCAATGTTAGCCTTCTTCAAGAATTCTCGCCCTAAGAGCGTATGGTTCTGGGTTAAATACGGCATTATAACAAAACTAGTTGGAGTTATTTTGTCTTTTATCTTAACGTCTACATTTGTTACCAGTAGTTTCTTATCTCTAGGAATTCCGTCAGCTAATGTTACCACTGCATCCATTGTTTCAAACTTAACTTCCTTATCTTGTAACACCTTATGGAGGGTGTGACCAGCTATGTTCCATTTTGATCCTGAATCGGCGAGTCCAATTCCTTTTGCACCTTTCACTTCTAAGGGTAGGATTGGAGCGCCGCAGCTTGATTCATTTTCTAAAGATAGCCGTGAGAATTCAAAGAAGTTAGTTTACACGTCTGCTTTTTCTTTGCATTTCGGGCAGTTCCATCTGTAGTAGCCAGGAGTACCACAGCCATAACACTCAGGTTTTGATCTTGCTGATGTTGACTTTGACAGTTCTTTATTATCATTTTCTTTTCCCAGTTGGCGACACTAATTCTTTAAATGACCAAATTTTTTGCCATGTTCACAACGAGGTCGTACCTTCTTTATTCGCATTCCGTCCTGGTTTGTGTTTCTTCTTGTTCTATTTTGCGGGCACAATTAAGCAAATTTTCGAAAGAGTTTATTTCACTAGGCGTAAACCTCTTCCGGATATTCAGAGCCAAAAGTCCATAAACCATATCCAGCTGCATTTCTTCTGCGATACTATAGGGCAACTGAGCGATTAAAGTTCGAAATTTCGCAATGAAGATATCAGTGGCTTCGTGTTGTGTTTGCTCACGAGCAAAGAGTTCTCGGAAGACTGCATGAGGGGGTAATTTCTTCGAATACACTTCTCTGAGGATATTTACTGCACTCTGCCAGTCTTTCGTCGACGGTTTGATTCCTTGCCACCAAGTAGCAGCGCTAGACTCGAGCAACATTGAAAGACCACGCAGTGCATTTTCGTCACTGATATTGGTGCAGTCTTTATATATTATGATGTTGTCTAGAAAAGCTTCTACATCGGCGTCATTTGACCCATTCAATCTGGCACTACATTTAGCAAAACTACCTGCAGATCGAGTGTAAGAAATTGGTGATTTTTTTAAATATATATTTTTTTGATGTATGCTTTTTCGTTGAGCAAATATTTTTTCCTCCAGGTTTTTAACCGAAACTAAAATTTCTAGAACCTAATTCGTCAATTTTGGGCCCTAAAAATGTCTCCGTTTATTTATTTTTTAACGACCTAAAGTCCGAAGCCTAGTTATCATATAAGTGGTGTAATGTTTTGCCAACCGAGGGTTAACCGACAAGAGTATTAATCAAGGCTAGTAGACAAAAAATAACGTGGGCATATGTGAGGAAAACAAAATAACTTTGCCATGCCAATTTTACCTAAATTAAAAAGTTGTATGCTCTGGTGAACGAATTTGATGATAGTAATTTACAACCTGACAAAAAATCGCACTACAGATAAAAAGTTTATTATGACGGATAGATATCATGAACATCTTACATAACATCACATGGGTTTTCGTAGAATAAATTTGCGTCAATTATATCTATTAATTTAGTGCAATAAAAACTTTAACTGAAAGTTGACAAATCATGAGCATCTGACTTTTGAGCATTTTCTAGGGTATAGTGAACTCATGACTATTATGGCGACTTTATTGTTGGGTACTTCATTTGGTTTGGACTTCAAATTTTTTATAATCGATCGGGTATAAAGCACCCCCCCCCGCTTTGACTTTTTGTAGAAAATAAATTTAAAATTACCACATAACCGGAAGGAAATATGATTCACTGTTTTCCACCAAGACCTTGTCCCAGATTCTCACAACAAACCCAACAAAAACCAATTTCATCACACGTTTATTCAACAACTTAACTCATTACAGACAAAATATTCACGCATCACCAAAAAGCTCCCTCGTGGACACTTTCTTCAACACATTATCCAAAATCGAGCCGAAAATCTGTCCAAAAGCCTCCTCGTAACTCGTTTTAACGTCCGAAAACACCTCCGACCAGTTTTCGTTCAAAACTTGATTAATATTGTCACCTAGAGCTTTATCACCGTCAAACAAGTTCTCCAGATGGAACCTCATCAACTGCGGCGTCAAAACGAGCTTAGTACTAGCAACCTTATAATGTTTCTTCCCTTTCTTGTCGTGCTCTTCGAGCGCGAAACTAATTTCCAGCCTCAATTTATCTGAAAAACACATTATATTAATTTTGTGACTGTGTCACGCCATAAAGTTACCCATTTCGATGAAGCCGGGACCGTCGCCCTTAATGGGTAATACCAGAAGTTTCCCGTTGATTTCGTAGTGGAAGTCCATTCGCACTAGAGGCGTTTCGCAATCAAGGGTTAAGACTTTGGTATCGAAGTTCATGCTACAACAACCCTATTATCCACATTTTTGTAAAAAGGGAACTTACTCTGCTTTGGAACATTTGACTTTGGAAAAGCCGCTGATTTTGATGTCTCTGTAGTTCTGCTGGAAGGCGACAGCTCCTGAGCCTTCCCCGATTACCAGCGACGGTACATCCAGTGGTTCTAGCGTTCCTAAGCCGATTTCTTTCACGGGGTTTGCGGATTTTGATAGAGCATCGTCGATTGCGGACACCAGGCACTTGTCAAAATTGCCGTCTTTTCTGTTGCACTTTTGCAGAGAGCTTGCTGAAAAGTTCCCGTGTGATGATCAGTGTTAATGTAACTACTAATTAAGCGCACTTACGAATTTCTGCCGAATAACAAGTAGTGGCTAAGCAAAGAGCATAAAGTACGGTTGCGTAAGTCATGGTTTCGACTGTTTGTTCCATGAATAGGTTCTTCTCTTTATAGTTTGTTTACTTTGAAAAAAAAAAAAAAAGTTGTTACTTGTTTACCTTTCGGTTGGACCTGGCGAGAATTATCATAATTTGCGTTTTTTTGTTTATTTTGTGCGAAAAATTCAAGTTAATGAGTGCTGAGGTGAATTTTAATTTTTTGTTTATTTTTTTCTTTAATTGCCTGGAATTGTATGCCGAATGACTTCGTAGTAAAGAACTTGTTAATTGTGTTGGCACTTTTTGTTAATAGGCGGTTAGATAATTTCGGTGTTTGAATCCTGTTGTTATTTCATTATAATTATTTTACTTCTTTTGAACGTTCACTAACGTTGGGATTCGTATTGCAATCTAAATGTAAAGTGTGTAATGAAATGGGACAAAAAATCTAGTTAATTTTGCTCGTGGTTAAAGTACACTTCATATTATAGACACCAAGTTTTGCTAACGAAAATTACACTAAATAATATCTACTATACGCTTTACTATTTTACACCATTTAACTTTGTGTAAGTTAAAATTATCATGTTGGTGTTTATTACGTGTCTTCCTAAAACGAACTTTTCAATGCTCTTTCAATAAGATATTTTTACTAATCTGTGGTAATTATAAAGTAAATGTCTTCTATGTATCTACGTTTTATTTCTAATATTACAAACATTACAAACAAGTATATAACGAGTGATCAAAAAGTTTTTACATTAGAGTTGGCCATGGAAATATTTGTCATGTCTTTGATTAAAAGTGCAAATGTCATGCATAACTTCATTTGTATTTCAATAATTTGGATTATTTCCATGGCCAACTCTAACTAAAAACTTTTTGATCACCCGTTACATATAAAATACATATAGAAAACCAGAAAATCGTAGCTAGCCTTGAATATACTATCACCTGTCGTAGTTCTGGCATAGGACACTTTATTCAAAAATCATATTCGTGCCCAGTCATTGTAAAAATGATACACCTGAGGGTAGATAAACTGAAATAAAAGTACCAGCGTAATAGATTCATTTAAATGCTGTTTCCAAATATTTTATAAAATATTGTTACGAAATATACCCTTACGCCGCCCCGGTACGACGCCTATAGTCATCGAGAACTCTCTGGTCTTATTACGCCGGTGATGATTCATCCTTAATATGACCGAGAAGTCTAGAAGCGGTGACGTAGGACTGCGTACTGTTTAAATAAAGTTCACCTTTGGGGAACGGATTATTCAGCTAGTTGAGTCAAGAGCGTCCAGTGAAATTCGACGGAATAATTTCTTCTTCATCTCATATATTCAATATAAATAAGAGAGATTTGAAATATTTTATAATATTTAATTTTCAAATATTTCAAGGAATGGATTGTTTTTCCTAAGTTATTTTCTGAATTTAATAGAATCTCATTTGGGAATTTTAACATAGTCATTTGCAGTATTCAAGGTTTAACCCATTACCGCCCACTGTGATATAGGGTAGCCAAAACACTTTTTTTAGCATATATCTTAGAATTTTTTTACATGTGATTGTTTTCAAGAACTTTGTTCTTTAAGCTTTTATTAGATATTTTTAGTTTAATGTATTTTTTTCATAATTATTCAGAACCGATTTTCAAATAGAACATAACATATTTTCGTTGCATTTTTGTTATTGTCTGCTGCTCAATATTTTTCTTACTAAAAAGTATCTAATGCATTCAAGTTTGAAGTTCAACCATTTTGATTTTTTAAATTTCGCATGGATAACTATTGGATCATAAAAAAAAGAAATTTACATAATTTGAAAATATTTTTTAAATATTTGTAAACATTGATGCGCTTTGAAAAATTATTAGTTAGAAAATGTCATTGTGATTCGAAGGTAGAAAGGGATTTCATACTGATTTCGTGTTATCATTTATGTGTTATACGACTTGAATTTTGGACATTTATTACAGGGCACTGCTCTCACAGCGAAGTGTGTTTCGACCGACGTTACTGTCATTACTGTATCAATGTTTCGCGCTTTTTCGAAACCTGGAAACGGGTGTCCAAAGAAGCAATGGGGGAAACCCAGGGTACTTCTAACTGTCATTTATCACAACAACTTGGTTTGTTTGTTGGTATCTGTACTACGATTCTAGGAAAAGTTCGGTATTAACGAAGGCAGCAAGACAGAACAGTCTGTAACTAACAAACATGAACGGAAGCAAATAGTGTTTATATGTGAAAAAGTAATTGTGAAGAAGCAGAAATAAAACTAATTAAAAATATATAAAAAAAATAAGATCCAATCATGATCAGCTCGTTATAGTTCTGTTTGTCAATAAATCCTTTTTTCGACATTTTGAACCGATGCAATTATCGTTTCAATATAAAAATTAACACCAAAACAGAAAGTAGGTTAAGTCACTTGCTAAGTATGGATTATACAAGGTTATAATAAAGTAATGCACAGCATTTGTTTTTGACAAAAAATGCAAAAACATATCGGGCTTTTTATTTTACTATCCATCTTTTGACATGTGTTGAACTAATAATAAAAATATGGTTTTATAATTTTAGCGTTAATACTAATTATAACAACATTATAATGTACGAGTATAAAAGAATAAATCATTTATTTACAACTTTATAATCACGTGTTTAGCTAATTAATTAGAAATGTAGAAAACGCAAGAACGAGTCCTGTCCTGAGTATCGTTTCTAGGATTTTCTAGGTAAACAGCCCGGCGACCGGCTAAAAACGCTGGTGTCATAATTTTCGGTACGTTGTGATCCGATTAGGGTCGCCTTGTTGCTTAATTTTTATAATCTCCACTGTCCGGTGGTAGTTTGCAAAAACTTATAATTTTGATTGCATTATTTGATAAAGTTTATTTTTTGGCATACGAAAATGTAGTTTAAAAAATGAGAAAATTAGTAACCAACAAAATAAACTTCATTTTAATGATAAATATTAAAAAAAACAGAACAATACGTTGGAGGAAAAATTTATGTTACAGATAACTCAAATAAACTTGTCTTCCCACGATTCTGGGACTACGTGGGAAAATTTGATGTGGTGGGGTTAGTAGAGACATGGGTACAAATAGAAAACTGGAAGAAATTTGAAGAAACACTACCACAAGAATATGTATGGGAGTGTCAAGGGTCAACAAACGAAAAGAAAAAGGGGAGAGCAAGCGGTGGAATAGTAATGGGAATTCTAAAAGAAATGCAAGAATTGGAAAAAACGGACTAATGAAGAAAGTAATACCGCTCGAATATAATCAATGAGAAATAATAACCGTTTATAGCAAGAAAATGGAGGAAACCAAGTTGACATAGAAAAGGAAACAAAAGAAAAAGGAGAAGAAAAAATACTTATACGAGGGGATTTTAACGCAAGACTGGGCGATAAGGGGATAAGAATAATAGATAAAGAAAAGGGTGAGACAAGAGGATCAAAAGACAAAGCAAATAACAAAGAAGGGAAAATATTGTGGAAGGTAATAGAAGAAATGGGATGGGAAATTTTGAATGGAAACAAGGAAGGAGACGAAGAAGGAGAATGGACATACGTAGTGGCTAGGGGAAAATCCATTATAGGTTATGGGAAGAAATAAAGAGTTTCAAAGTGGGGGAAAGGATAGAATCAGACCACATGCCACTAGAAATAAAAATCAAAGGATAAGAGCAAGAGTACGAAAAACAAGAGAGAAGAAACGAAAGAAAAGAAATAGAAAAAAGAATATGGGATGAAGAGAGAAGATACAGGAGTAAACTAGAGAAAAAGAAAAGCGAAGTGAAAGAAGATATAGAAGCTATAATAGAAGAACTGATCAACCTAATTGTAGAAGCTACGGAAAATGGAAAGATATACATATGGCAAGGGAGGAATAATGGATGGAACGGAGATTGTGAGTTGAAGAGAGAAGGAGTATGAAAGAAGAACTGAGTGTAAGAGATAGGGATATAGATAAGCAAGAACGCAGATCGAGAATATCGGAGTCTAGATATATTGCAGAGTATAGAAATATAGTAAAGAGGAAGTACCAAAGTACACACACAGAGAGAGAATAAAAGAGAAAAGAATGATGGCGAGATTTAGATGTAAAAATGAAGAGAAAGAGAATAATTTTTGGATGGATGAAACTGACAGAAGGTGTAGGATATGTTGGAGAGAGGGAGAAATAATAGAGGATATGCTGGAAGGAGGTGGCAGACTGAGAGAATAGGAGGAAAGTAGAAAAAAGTGCTAAACCAGGATGGAAGAGCACTGGATTGGATGAAAGAAGTACGAAAGATAAGGGAACTAAGGCAAGGGGAACTCTTTCTTCGATTTGAAACCTAACTTAAGTCCAAATTCGTCTGCTTCTTCCTTTTACGATAGAATTCTTCTACTATTTTTTCGAATTCGCGTTATTTAACCTCTTTTTGACATCTTCCTGCATCCAAAACTGATTTTCTAGCTCTTCCCATTTCCGGATAGAATTTCTCTAGATTTTGTTTATAATTTTCTTCAACTTTTCTTCAACTAAAACTTTCAGATGGAATTCTTCTAGAATTTACTTGAACTCTTTCTTCAACTTCAGACCCTTCAGCTGAAGTTGGAATTCGTCTGGGGCTTCTTTGTTCAAGATCGAATTTTCTGTCAGCATTTCGAACTCATGTTTATTAATATTTTTTAACATTTTCCTTTTTTCGGTTTTCCTCGTTTCCCAATAAAATTCATCTAGATTGTTTACGGTTTTCTTGAACTTTTTCTTCAACTTCAAGCCTCAACTGAATTTGAAATTCGCCTGCTTCTTCATTTTAGAATTTCTCCAATGAACTCATGTTAATTAACATCGTAACATTTTCCCTTTTTAGTTCTTCCCCTTTTCTGAGGGAATTCACCTAGATGTTCTTTTATAATTTTCTCGAAATCTGTCTCAAACTCACTTTGAACTGCAACTGAGGTTCAATTTCATCTAGATTTTTTTCTTTAGAATTTTCTTCGATTAAAATCTCAAGCTGATGTTAAAATTCCTCTAACTCTTCTTCTCCAGCCCACGATAACATCGAAATTCTCTTCTTGAATTAACTTAAACTTTTTCTTCAACTTAAAATTCCAAGTCAAGTCCAATTTCGTCTAGTTTTTCTTTAATTAGGATACAATTGTTCTAGAATCTTCTTAAGATCGCATTGATTAATGTCTATTTAGTTATCATTTTCCTGCACCGTAATCGAAATTCTCTAGTTCATCTAGTTTCCAGGTAGATTTCGTCTAGATTTTTTTTTAGAACTTTCTTCAACCAAAATCCTAAACTGTTGTTAAAATTCCTCTAACTCGAAAGTTTCTTTTTGTTTCAAAAATAATTTTTCTAGAATTTATTTGAACATTTTCTGCAACTTCGAACGGCCAGTGAAGTCCAATTTCGTCTATTTTTTCTTTGTTTAAGATACAATTATTCTAAAATCTTTTTAAAATCACGTTAATTAACATTTAGTTGTCATCTCCCTGGTTCATCCCGTTTCCAGATAGTATGCGTCTAGATTTTCTTTTAGGACTTTCTTCAACTAGAATCCTGAACTGATATTAAATTTCCACTAACTCTTCTTCTTCAGCCCACGGCGTCATCGAAGTTTTCTTCTCGTTTCAGATAGAATTCTTCTAGAATTATACTTGAACTTTTTTCAACTTCAAACTCCAAATGAAGTCCAATTTCGTCAACTTCTTGTTTGTTTAAGATACAATAATTATTCTAGAATCTTCTCAAAATCACGTTAATTAAGTCTAGGTATCTTATCCCTACATTGTGGTCAAAATTTTCTAGTTCGTTCCGTTTCTAGATAGAATTCGTCTAGCTTTCCTTTAGAATTTTCTACCACAGTATTCTAGTGAAACTAATGGAATCTTACCTAACGGGTAGATAAAAATTTTGGTCCCATCCGGCGTTCCACAGGGCTCTGTTCTAGATCCCCTGCTTTTCATATCTACATCAACGATGTTATCAAAAACATTACTTTTCAGGTTTTAATTTACGCAGATAACCTAAAAATCTTTCGTCATATTCTTCAAGAAGATATATACACTTTTGAAAACTGGAGTAAATCTAACATGTTACCTATAAATTTTGACAGGATCTCAAAAGTTTTTTATTAATCTAATCAATCCATATCATTAATTGATTTTAGTACCCGTAATTTAATTATAGAAGTCTTGCCTGAATGCAGTGGTAGGTCTTAATAATAGAGACTGTCGTGACCGTACGTTAAAAAACTACGTATAAGATATCTCCTTCGTTTATGGACTTTTCACCTTCGGAACATTACATAATCAACAGTAATCATTTTAGCAACAAATTACGGAGACTATAATTAAAATAGAATATTAAATTGGCGTGTACTGCAAAATGTGTTGATTGTTATGTTGTATTCGTAGAAAATAATTATTATTAAGCATGAGACTTGGATTCTATTTATTGCGCGTTATTATTATATGAAGCGGAACATCGACCCACACATTAAAGTTCCATAAAACTCGGGGCAGCAGCTAAAACTGATCAAAACTATTTAATATGATTTTAATTTTTACTTCCCGAGCGTAAGCAAAGGAAGTATTGTAATCGAGTCCGTCGGCCGACTCTCTACTTTTACGTTTTCTCGATCTTTCATGACCCCTAGAAGACGAAGAAATAGGTCTCCCATTTCCGTCTGTCTGTCCGTCTGTCCGTCTGTCCGTCTGTCCGTCCGTCTGTCCGTCTGTCCGTCTGCCGTCCCGGATTTTTATTAGACAGATAATCTCCGAAAGTACTCGACCGATTGTTGTGAAATTTTGTACTTATACACGGAAAAAAAAATTAGTTCTGTCGACAATAATTCTGATTACACCAACTATGTTTTATAATTAATATAGGGACAACTAACTTTATTGTGCCGAGGACAATACTGACATATTTGGATCAAAATAGTTGTACCAACAATACAGTATAGTTGGCAAAATAACAATATCATATAGTCAACTCAACAATATAGATTAGGGTCGGTGCGACTTACTGCTTTAGTTATTTCAACTAGAATTGTAACTCATTTAATATTGTTGTGGCTAATAGAGTTTTTAGTTAATAAATAAAAAATCTGTTTTTATTAAAATGTTTTATTAAAAAATAAAAAATAAATGTAAACAGTTTACAATGTAAATGCAATTATTAATACGCTTATCATTACTTCATTTGTACAATAATAACAAACAAGTTTCTAAATAGGTACATTCATTAGAATTTATATAGGACGAACCTAATTTTCATTTGGTAGGTTTAAATATTATATTTTACATCCCATGTTTTTTATTTATGTAATACTTTCCATCAGGAAGCATGCTAAGATAATATCTGTTGTAGTTTTTAAGATCGTTAATTTTTATCAGGCTTCTTTTATCGGTTTTTTCTACAGCAAATGCATGATAATGTTCATAGACACCAGTTGTAAGGAATTCCGCATATATAAAGAAAATTTCATTTTGTATAGTTATAATATCTAATATTTTATCAAATAATGGAAGATCCAATACATCAACCACAATAATGTCATGCTTCTTGTATATTAGTCCTAAAATTTTTACCCACTTAAAGCGTTCTACATAATCTATATCATTAGTAATAAACATGTTAAATTCATACTCTGAAAGACATATAAAATCTGCTGGACCATACTTTACTGTTTTTGTAAATCCATTATTACAAATAAGTTTGTGACATAACTGAAGTTGATTTTTTATTCCTAACGTTAAGCAAATATTTTTCTTTGAACAACTAATATTAGCAGTAATTTTAAAGGGTCTGTGCTTCGATTCGAATCTCATAGACCAAATATGCACCAGAGGTCCGACCATACGTACAAGTAAAGGATAATGTATCATATTGTGGTGTTTCGGTTTAAGTGTCTGTTTTAATAAAACTGTATAAATATAGTGGTGTTCATAAACCAATGATTTTAAGAGTTGCTCATATTGAGGTTGAACTGACTTATCTAAAATTATGTCCAATATTTTACATAATGTCAAATATAACTGCCAATAGGTATTATTCTCTGGCACTAAATGGCCAACCATTAAATCAAACAGTGAAGCAAAGCACATCATTTCAGAAGCAGACATCTTTAAGTTATTCTTCTTTAGTTGATCTTCATTAATTTTAGGTGGAATATTTGTTTCTGATCCATAATCAAAAGCCGCAATTTTAGAATTTAACATTGTCAAACTAAATAATTTTATTTCATAAATAAAATGCTTTAATATTAAACTCAGGTCATAATTACACACTCCCTCTAACATATCATGCATTATGTCCATACTGTAATTTTCGGTAACATGAAAACCAATTACTTCGTTCCAAATAGATTTTTTTTTAATACCTGTTAAAATAGGATTATTTAACTGCAGATGGTTTTCGTAACTAATAACATTACGAAGCTGAGTTTGATCTTCTTCAGATTTTATTTGACACTCAGATTTTGTCATTGTGCAAAGACGGCAAAAATGAGTTGCGCTAAAACTCTCAACAAAATCTAGCATTGAGTTTAGTCCAAGATTGTCTCCAATACATAAACCGATGGTAAAATAAATGGTCCTACATTCTTGTCCGCAGTTAATATTTATTCCAACATTGTGCAGATAATTTAATTCGTCAATTACAATTTTAAAAACTTGATTACCAACCGTTTTTCTGTCAAGAGACTTAAACAATTGTACCAATAAAATGTTTTCTGTTAACGACTGAAATTCTGGGGGAAAACATGGAATCGAAGCATATACCGCCCCTAACTTATTTACGCCTGAATGTGATCCTAGTACATTTCCCGTTTCATAGTCATCGAAATATATGAACAATGGAAAAACAATTTTATTCTCAAATAGTTGAAATTTCGATTGCCAAAGCTCACACTGAATAAAATTTTCTTTAATGATGGTATTATCCATAAGAAGTTTGGTATATTCTAAAGTTTTTTGAAACACATTGGGTAATTCAAAAATTTTTTTTAAATTGTCTCTAAGTGGAATAAACGTACCTTTTGAAACGTAAGTATTTACCGTTGGACAACATTTTTTAGTTTTTGATTCGATGTCTTCACGTATAATAAATTCTTCAGGCTTTACATAAAAACCACATTTCTGAAAATATTTAAATCTTTTATATTCTGTTGACAACTCTTTGAAAGGATTTTGAAGCAAGTTAAAATAAAGATTTACCAAATCAATTAATTTATCCTCACATTTAAGTGTGGTTAACAAGTTAAAAATAAAAATTTCGAAAGTTTTTAAAAATGTTCCATTAAATAATTTTGATGTCATATTAACAACATTTTGAACTTCAACCCTAGGTATGCAATTATTGCTATACAAAGATGAAACAAATTCTAAGACATCGTTTTTAAAGCTTTCAGTATCAATTTCATTTTTAATTAAATGAGTTTGTAAAGGCGTGTCTGTATTTGAATTCTGATGAACGTTATTTAATGTGGTCGACGCTGATGGTAGCATTTGCAAGTTTTTATTTACTTTTTCGCTTGCAGAAAAATTTTGCCCTAAACTAGGTGTAATTCTATTGCTAGAAGTCAAGTGTTTGTCTTTGACATGCTTCCTGAAAGAATTTATATTACTCACTGTTCTGAAACAAGAATTTTCGCAACATATTATTGGTCCATCTTTAAAGGAATGCACGTGTTTTAAGTGCAATAACAATGTTTTTATGGAAAGAAATGATTTATTACACTGAAAACATATCATATTTGAAAATTAGGTATATCATAAACAAATTAAAAACAAAAGTAAAAAAGACAAGACAAAAATTTAACAGTTATTCAACTGACTCAAAAATGTATTGACGGAAATGTAATTTACATCATGTTTTGCATCGTGAATATTGTATATGTGCTGTTGAATTAACTGCCAAAGATGCTTACTTGGAGACGGATATTCTGCATTTAAAACGTGGAACATTTTGAAACATACATCAAAACATTTGACTACGCTCTCTACGCCATATAGATAAGAGTCTACTTGTAACATGCAACTTAAATTTTCAAAGTTACCTACCACAATGGGTAGGGGTTGAAATGTATCACACTTATTAAGAAATTTGTTCCGCTGCTGTTCTAGCACCACCTTCACTTCGTCTGCTGTTGGAACATGCAGTAAAAACGTCTCCTGGCACTCAGTTTTTGACGGTCTCCATCTTATTTTTTTTTTTGGATTTGATTGTGACGTACTTGATATGACACTTGTTTGGACAAGATGGGGTAAAATTAATAATGCAAGTGCATTAGTGGCATCTAAAACATATTTGTTACTATTGCAATTTATAAATGGATAAATCAGATTGTATACCTTCAGACTGACTTTCTGACAACTTTTCTAAGTAATGTTTTACATTTACATCTTTTGAATTTTTGGCTAAGCTCAAAATTTTCACGACAAAATCATTAATTTTTGCGTATAAATTGTATTCCTGATTCGGGAAAAGTTTTTGGAAATCCACTTCAAACTAAAAATAATTATAAATTTTATGTTCTACCATAAATGTAAATGAAATTCAATATATATTCCTACAAAATAATAATTTCATATAGCTTACGTACTAAAGTGTATCCAAGAGGTCTCTTAAGTGCAGGGAATGTTGTTAAATATTCAAATATTGTAGACTGACTCTCGTTGTACTTTTTTAGCCTGGTTTTGGACGTTTCCTTCCAATGTTCAATCACTTGTGGCCACGGTTCGTAGTTATTTTTTAACCACTGTACGATATTTTCATAGTTATCGTCTTCTGCACTCAATTCCTCTTCCGAGGTTTCTATAAACACAGTTGGTACATTATAAAATTTCTATTTTTATTAAAAAAAATAACCTACTGCTACTATTTCCTTTAGTCTCTAAAATACCAGACTGTCTTAATGTTCTTCTAGTATTGTGGTATTTATCAAATAATTTTCCACGCGCACACTTTTTGTATTTTCCATCCACGTTGACGTACGGTGTATAATATGTTTCAATTCTTTCCTTTGGAAATAACTGTTTAATATAGCGTGCGAGCTGAATAAACCGTCTTGAAGGAATTCTATAAAAAGTTTTTATTTCTCAGAAGCTAATGCTTTTAAAAAATAATCTATTTCACCTTTTGTCCAAATGGGTTCGCAATTCTTCTTCAATAATGATTGATACTAGATTGTTCTGTAGGGTAGGTGTTAATGACGTTTCAGAGGACTTCGTTTGCAACAACTGACGTCCCTTAACACTTTTCTTTAAACATTTTTTTAGGTCCTGAAATATATTTACTTTAAAATGGAATTGAATGGACATAACTATGTATAATTATACATATTTTTTTCTTAAGAAAGTATCATTTTAGTGAAAAATAATTGCATAGTAAATATATGTTACTTGCTTAACGATTTGCCATAACAAAAAATACAAAACAGAACAATGTAAGAATATAAATTAACTTACAAAATCATAGGTAATTGGTTCATCCCCTGCTGTGGGATTGCCAATGAAGGCATTTTGCCTTTTATAGGGAACAGGTACAAAATCTAGAATTATACATAATTAAACGAATTTTAAAATTCAAGCTCATACCTACCTAATGCTTTATCTTGAAAAAAATCCTCGTACTCTTTGGATATAATTTCATTTAACGGTGTAGATGACTGTGAAGGAGTCGAGCAGATAGAAGTAAAGCTAGCATCAGATAATAGTGGATTTTCATCGACAGCCAAACTGTTTAATGATGTCGTTGAAGCAGGTGACAACGAATTTTCCAAATTATAGAGAGGTCGTGAAATAAAATTCAAATCAGACACGCTATGGTTCCGTTTGCTGGTAGATGGACCATCAGAACTCTTGATATCCACAATACAGATGTCAGTTTTTAAACGTTTAAAGTGGGACAAAAACTTTGCTCTATCTCCTACTTTTGGAATAAGTTCCTTTATTAAATCCTTCGTTAGGTTAATAAAGGCTGCAAAATCTACACCCTGTTCTGAAAGATGAGAATCGTAATTACTAAATTGTGATATAATACTACTTATATGAAACAAGTTAAAAAGTTTTAAGGTTTTTCAAAAAGAAAAAAATGATCTTTTCATTTTTACTCAACAGCCGTAGAAATAAGGATGACGATTGTTGAGTAATAAAATAAATAATAAATAAATGATTGTTGAGTAACATGCATGGGTACTTCCATACCAAGTCCAGCAAAAGATAAATGCAAAAGCCGTCAATTATTTTGTGAGCAGTATTTTTTTTAGTATTTTAGACCGCAACCTGCAATAAAACCATTATGCATTAGGATGCATTCACTAAAGAACAAATACGGTTCTGGAAAGGTATATAAGGGTAGCGACTAATTTTCATTGACAGCTTAACACAGAGTACAGCTTCGAAAACTACTCGAGATTTTACAGCTGCAATACTCATAATAATTGGAGTCATTGCTTTTATCTTTTGCTGGACATTAACTGGAATTAAACAGGTATGTACCTTGAAAACTCTCCCATAAATGGGCCAGACCCCATTTGTCTAGGTAATCTTTAACTTCAACTTCCATAATTACCTTTTTGTAACTACAAATATTAAGAAAAACCACAAAAAGAACGAAAACACTGCACTTCTCTGCACTAACTGCGTCACACATGCACCCGTGACTACGTGACGGAAACTGAGACGACGAAAACACGGTGGTTCCCAGAAATAAAGGCATTGTTATTATAACAAAACTTCTCGGTTACGATTAAAATGTACCATTCGTAGTGGTTTCGAACAACTATGCAAACTGTAACAACATTTTTTTACTCTGCTGTTCGATCAAATGAACTAAATTGTACAGTTTTCATAACTATATAAGCGCAATTATTTTAATACTGTTGTCACGATTATGCGAAATTTGTCTGTATTGTTAAAACAACGAGACAATATCGTCCGAGCAACTATAAACCGGCCAACTATTGAGGTATAGTTGATTTTACTACGGACTGTTTTTAGAGTGTATTAAGAATATCATGTAGATGGTAAAACGTTAACCAAAATTTGTCTAATCATCCCCACCACTAATGCGATGACGTCACTTCAAAATTGTACATAGTAAATGGGTTTTCAATTGCATAAAATAACATAGTCCTACACATGTTGTTTACAACTCTGAATCGAGTTTTCACCCGAAACGTCCAGATTATTGGAAAAAAAAAATTATAAAACAACATTTTGAAATTTAATTTTTAATCTGCTAACCAGAATGCTTTGAAATGTTGCAGATGTTTTAAGGCTATAAAGAGCATCATAAATCTTTAGTCAAAAAAAATTTGCTTATCCCCTCCAAAAACTTGATGACGTCAGCTCAAAAGTTTGTGGAATAAATCATATCTAAAATGTACAAAATATGATGAGTCTGTACTTGTCATTTATCACTCCATTCATATTTTTTGGATTTACATATACAGAGTGACTCAAAAAAATTAATGAATGCGTAAATATATTTTATTGATTTAATCAGGAACTACAAAACGGAATGCTCTGACATCTTGCAGATGTTTTAAGGTTATAAAGAGCATAATAAATGTTTAGTCAAAATATATTTGCTTATCCCCTCTAAAAACTTGATGACGTCAGCTCGAAAATTTGCCGAATAAATCATATCTAAAATGTACAAAATATGATCAGTCTGTACTTGTGATCTATCACTCCATTAATATTTTTTTGGATTTGCATATACAGGGTGATTCAAGAAAATAAATGAAAGCGTAAATTTATTTTACTGATTTACTCAGGAACTACAAAACCGAATGCTTCGAAATCTTGAAGATATTTTAAAATTATCATAAGCATGGTAAATTTTTGATCAAAATGTATTTGGTCGTCCCCCCTAAAAAATTTATGACGTCACCACAAAATTTTGCTGAATAAATCCTATCTAAAATGTACAAAATATGGTGAGTCTCTTCTTGTGATTTATCATTCCATTCAAATTTTTTCGATTTGCATATACAGGGTGACTCAAAAAAATTAATGAAGGCGTGAATTTATTTTATCGATTTAATCAGGAATTACAAAACCGAATGCTTTGAAATCTTGGGAATATTTTAAAGTTATTATAAGCATGGTAAACTTTTGTTCAAAATGTATTTGTTCATCCCTCCTACAAAAATTGATGACGTCACCCTTAAATTTTGCTGAATAAATCCTATCTAAAATGCAAAAAATATGATGAGTTTGTACTTGTGATTTATCTTTCCATTCATATTTTTTAGATTTTCTTAAGAGGTGGTTCAAAAAAATTAATGAAGTCAATTTATTTTATTGATTAAATTAAAGGCAACACTTATTATTAGTATTACACCCCAACCAACCCAATTTGGTAGACACAAAATTTGTTAAAGGAAAAACTCGGTTGAAGCATAAGGGTAGCACGCTTATTTACATCGACTTTAACATTACAGACCTGCATTTGTTTTATGCGCTCACTTGGTTCCGCGAATGTGAAATAGACATGTTTATAATCAACCAATTGTGAATTTCACCGTCAAGAATTAAAATAAAACCCAATGTTTTATATAATAAACGGAAGTCGAAGCAATAAAACCGATGGTCGTTTTGTTTACAGTTTCTCTGTTTGACTCTCACGTATGCTGTTACGCTTGTCATCCTAAATTAAGAATGTTTATACATAAACGATTTTCAGTTGCCTTTCATATTACTAGACAGCGGATTTTTGTCGGGCTACGTCACGTTTAATCGGTACTAATTCCATAAATATAATTAACGATTTATTAATCAAACGGCTAAGTAAATGAGAACGGGAATTAACAGCAGAGTGCAACGAAACAGCGTTATTCTAATCTCAAATAAACGAAGTGCAGTCCGCAACCGCAATGAATTCGCATCCCGTACGAGCCGTACCGAGTTTGGCCTTGCCTAGCCCGACAGAAATCCGCTCTCTAGATATTACACACTGGCGCCGTATACGTGAGTAAATTGTTTCGTTATTTTATTGATTATAAGAAATCAATATTCAAAACGACCCAATTCATTTTCCCGAAAATTTGGGAATACAATAATTTTATTCTTAGTATTACACTACATCTATCCCAATTGATATACGTGTCCTTGCAAAAATGTTGATGACGTCATCACAATTTTTTTTTAAATTCCCACTACAAAAATGTAATGAGAAAAAAAACACAATAGGCATGCAGTCGTCAAGTTTCCGACAGCGAGGGAAGTACTGTCTAAACTCTTTAGACCAATTTTTTTGTTGTGAATTCTCTACACCTTTTCTCTTCAAGATTATGGTGTAAAATAATCAAGTGAGCATTAAAAATGGGACACATTTATTTTGTAAAACATATAAAACTACAAAAGTTCAATACAAACAAAATTCAAGCAAAAATTTCAGAAATCGGCACCTTCTCCAAAAACCTGCCAAAAATGTTGCTAAAAATTTGACCGAAAGCCTCCTCGTAACTGCTTTCAAGATCCTCCCAAAGAGCACTCCAGTTCTCGTTGAAAACGTCGTTGATATGCTTCCCTAAAGCTTCGTCTCCACCGAACAAATTATCCAACTGAAAATGGATTAATTCTGGCTTCGCAATGAGTTTGCTGTCTTTAATTTTATAATGTTTCTCGCCATCCTTGTCGTATTCTTCCAAATTGAAGGTAAACGTGAAGTGCAAATTGTCTTCAAAGATAAAAATCAGAGCAATTCTCTCCGTTAAAACGCTTACCAAGTTTGATTAGAGCGGGCCCTTGTCCATTGAACGGAATAACCAAAATCCTTCCTTTAAAATCGTATTCGGACTCCAGTCGAACTTTCGGGAAAATGCACTCGAAAGTGATCGTTTTCTTATCAAAATCGACACTAAAACCACATTAGACGTGAAACTTTTACGAAATAAATATTTACGTACTCAAATTTTGTAAATGTTGCTTTGTTGAAACCGTAGATTTTCAAGTTGTTGTAGTTTTGGGTAAACTGAGCCGCGTTGGTTCCGGGTGAGATGGACAAAGAAGGGATTTCCAGCGGTTCGAAACTGACCAAACCCACTTCTTTTAGTGGTTTAGTTAGTTGACTTAGGGCACCTTCTACAGCTTTTTGCAAGCACTGGTTGAAGTCGCTTTTGCTTCTGTCGCATTTTTGGAAAGTGGAGGCTAAAATTGTGGCTGGAATAGAGTTGAATAAGGAATTAAATAACTTACGTAGTTTTACAGAAACGCTGATTGCGAAAAAGGCACAAAGTAACACCACAGGCTTCATTTTCTTGCAGCGTGTTAACAGGACACTAAGGTTTTCACACTGGAAGACGCGTTTTTAAACGTATCCAGTTAATCACCTTCTGTTGAGTTTTTGTTATTAATTGCACTAGTCAAGTAACTAAATTACATAATGTTTCATTATAAAGTTCTTGTCTATTGTTGTAGCGTGTTTATATTATTATTTAACGTTATTGTTGCAAGTATAGACTGTGAAGGTTAAGTTCGACAATAGCTGAAGATGACTGTTGCCGAATCAAGTAATTTTCCAATAAAAGTGGTAACGATTTCAAGTGAAAGGTAAAATATGGTAAGTGACTGGATATCAACTTGTTTAACGGGTTGTACATCATGGTCAAGTGAATTACATTAACTATTATCCAATAAAAACTTTAAAAGACAACGGTATACTTTGCCACGTTAGACAGACGTTAAATAAGACCAAAAATTAAAAACATTTTCAAAATTTTTACACGAGTGGTAAATAAATAAGTTATACAGTGTGTATAAATGTTTGTTCGTCAAGTAGGTTATGAAAAAATTGTTAAAAGTGTCGTAATTAACATTTGCCGATTCTTAAGTTCAATGACAATTGGTGGTTGCCTACGTCGTAGGTGGTATTATACTTAAGTGACAATAGAAAGTAGCACTCATTTAAATTTCCGTTCAAAATAAACACTTTTTTGTGAAAATAAGTCTACACATATTAAAATAAATAGACAAAATGTAATTAAATGACCTAACTGTAAATTTTAAAAGGTTTAAAACAGGATTCCACGACCAACGAAGTGGACGTGCTTACACAATAGAGATTTTTCGTGAATTCATTGTTTTGGCTGACAGATTGTTTAAAAATGGGTTGTAAACAACGCCCTTGAGTTTAATGGTGTCGCCAACTGACAACGCTGTCCTGCATTTCATTTAGATTATAGCCGGAGGTGAATCTCTGAAAAAGCATTTTATTTTAGAAGTTTATTGTTAGTGATACTGAGTGTCTTTGCGTGTTAGTGAGTGTGCTGGGGCCGGTTTTGATTTTTGTGCATACAGTAAAGAATCCTCAAAATGCCTAAGGTAAAATCATCCATGAAAGACAAAATCAAATTATGGTTAGGAAATAATTTGGACACTAATTTTCAATTTCCTTCTTCAACCAAAGACAATGAGTTATTCTGCAAAGTGTGTGGAAAAGTTGTAAGTAAACAGTTAAAATACTGAAGCTTGAATTATGATCACATTTTTGTTTCCTAGTTTAAGTGCGAAAAAAAATCACACTTTGAACAACACTGCAGGGGCGATGCACATAAAAAGACGAGAATAAATCCAGTAAATAGACTTTATTAAACATTAGTTCCGACAATGATTTTTCGCAATTTTACACCGGTTTATGTAGGGCATTTACGGCAGCAAATATTCCATGGAATAAAGTTAGTTGTCTTGAGTTTAAAAATTTTATGCATGAATATACAGGAAGGCATTTACCCTCAGAAAGCACTCTGAGAAAAAAATATTTACCAAAAGATTACGATATGGTGAGCACAAGAATTTTTATTTAAAAACATTTCAACATAAATTTTACAGGTAATTAAACAAATTAGAAATTCTATTGGCAAAAATAATATATGGATTAGCGTCGATGAGACGACGGACCGATTAGGAAGATACATAGCCCATTTAGTAATTGGAAACTTATCTTCTGAAGAAGTTGGCCGTCCATTTGTACTAGCTTTGAAGCAGCTTGATAAAACTAATAGCAACACAATCTCAAGATTTATAAACGAATCATTGGGTGTGCTATTGATAATTTTAAGCATTGAAATTGTTATAATTTATTTAACTGTTGATTTTTAGCTTTATTGTGGCCAAAAGGAACTGAACACAAAAAAGTTAAATGGTTTGTATCAGATGGTGCTTCATACATGATCAAAACTGATACTAATTTCAAGGTGTTTTATGAAAATATAACACACTTAAGATGTATGGCACATGGGTTACATTTAGTGTCTGAAACAATTAGACTGAATTATCCAGATGTCAATGGGATAATTAGCAATGTTAAGAAAATCTTTTTAAAAGCTCCAATAAGAGTAGAGTTTTATAAAAACAGTTAACCAAATACACCTCTCCCACCTGAACCTGTATTAACCAGGTGGGGCACTTGGATTCAAGCATCATTGTTTAATGCAGAACACTTTGATGTTTTAAAACAAGTCAGTAAATATATAATGGTTTTTTACTATCATTCTTATATTGAATATTTTTAGGTTATAATGTCATTTGAAGCCACAGATGCACAAAGCATTAAAAAAGCTCCAGAATTCCTGAATGAAGCAAACGATAAAAATGAACTCTTGTATATTAAAACTCACTTTAAAATTATTGCTGATGCAATATAACAATTAGAAACTATAGGTTTAAAATTAAACCAAAGTATGGAAATTGTGGAAAAAGTGTATACATCTTTAAAAAACACACCAGGAAAGGTGGGGGAAATGGCGTTCCAAAAATTATGTTCTCTATTAAAAAAGAATCCAGGATACGATTTTATATGTTCAGTAAATAACGTAATTTGCGGTAATGGAAATGCTACCAACAATACATAGGGGAAAAGTGCCTAAAATGATCCCCTCAGGTCAAATGATCCCCATCAATTGTAAGAAAATTTGTGGCTCCATCTACCAAACATAACTGTCATTTGATTAAGCGCTCTGTAATTAGTACCTTCTGAAAGTTTGATGGCGTTCTGTGTATTCTGCACAGTTTTGTGCCAAAATATGTAAAATAAGCATCTCTGATCTAAGGTAAGATATATTTTAAAAGTCCATTACTTCCATTTGAAAGGTCTTATAGCGGTGGTAGTTGTTTTGACAGAATTAGATACATTTCAGTCGTAGGTTAGTTATGATCTTTTTACCGCATGTAAAAATTGAAGGTTAGTGTACAATTTTTGAATGCGGATATGCTACCTAAGGCGAAATGATCCCTTTTTCTTGAGGCAAAATGATCCCGGATCATTGGGCGGGGCTAGTACCTGCTAAGATAAGACTGATTTTTGCAAATCATATACCCTCTAAGAAAAGAGAGGGTGGGTGGGCGGGTCTAGCACCTGCTAAGATAAGACTGATTTTTGCAGATAACATATCCTCTAACCCCGCCCACCTACTCTTTATTTTCTTTGAGGGAATACCATTTGCCAATATCAGTTTTATCTTAGCAAGTACTAACCCCACCCACCCGCCCGTTATTTTCTTAGAATGTATGTTATTTGCCAATATCAGCCTTATCTTGCCAAGCACTAGCTCGGGCCATCCGCCCTTTATCTTGTTAGAGGGCTAGTACCTAATAAGATAAGACTGATTTTCGCAAATGACATATCCTCCAAGAAAAGAGAGGGTGGGTGGGCGGGGCTACTACCTGCTAAGATAAGACTGATTTTTGCAGATGACATATCCTCTAACCCCGCCCACCCACCCTTTAGTTTCTTCGAGGGAATACCATTTGCCAATACCAGTTTTATCTTAGCAGTTACTAGCCCCACCCACCTACTACCTGCTAAAACAAAACTGATTTTCGCAAATGAAATACCCTCTAAGAGAGGAGAGGGAGGGTGGGTGGAGCTAGTACCTCTTAAGACGGGGAAATTTAAATAATTTAAAAGAATTTTAGGGATTTTCGTGTTCTATTTTTGGGAAATTCTCAGTCTTAAGAGGTACTAATCCCAGTCACCCGCCATCACTTTTCTTAAAGGGTATCTCATTTGCCAAAATCATTTTTATCTTAGCAGTTACTAGTACCACCCACCCACATTCTCTTTGCTTAGAGGGTATATCATTTGCCAAATTCAGTCTTATCCTAGCAGTTACTTGCCCCACCCACCCACCCTCTCTTTTCTTAGAGGGTATATCATTTGCCAAATTCAGTTTTATCTTAGCAGGTAGTAGGCCCGCCCACCCGCCCTCTCTTTTCTTGGAGGGTATCCCATTTGGCAAAATTAGCCTTATCTTAGCACGTACTGATGACTAAAGTATTGTCTCAAACTCTTCCAGAAATTATACACCCCGTATTTTCGGTGCTTTTCAAACTTTTTTTGTTTATTTTTTTTAAGAATTTATTTTTTTGTTAATTTTTGAAATAAAATATTTATCAGTTATGTCATGATTTGATTTTTCTTGTTGATGCTGTCCCCTTATGGTCAAAATTCAAAGGGATCATTATGCCCATGCCGAGGGATCATTTTACCTATGGGGATGCCTAAAATGATCCTTTTGTAAGGTCCTGGAAAAACGTTAATAACTTTTTTTATAATTATCGAATCACCAATTGGCTTATACTGTTACCTAGATAAATCAATGTTTTTACAAATAATGCTACAGTTTTACATGAATAACAATCTATATATATAAAAATGGATGTTGGTATATATATCTGTGATCTATATATATAAAAATGGATGTTGGTATATATATCTGTGATCGATAGGCTCCGAAATCGTTTGACCGATCACCATGAAATTTGGCACATGTAAGTGGTTTTTCATGGAGAAGGTTTTTGTGGTATCCGCTTTGCTGTAACTAGCCACTAGATGGCGCTATAGCACATCAACTTCTACACCGTTCAACCAATTCTCATAAAAATTGGTACACGTTGGCATTTGACTATGGAGAATATTTTCGCCCTATCCATTTTGCTGTAACTCGCCACTAGATGGCGCTGCACCACATCAACTTCTGTACCAATCAACCGATCCTCATGAAAATTGATATACGTTGGGATTTGATCATGGAGAATATTTTCGCGCTATCGATTTTGCTGTAACATGCCACTAGATGGCACTGCAGCACATCAACCTCTCTGTTAAAGTATTATGAACTTAGAGAATCAGCGGCACCCATATATCTAATACTACTATATTGCTATCAGGCCTCAAAAGAGTCCGAAAACACAACGGCAGAGCAATATATCGGACCTCTTTGTCTCTCTATAGTACCAAACAGTACTGCTCATATACTCGTACTTGCTTGATTTTTAGTCGATAACGTGACTAGATGTGTTTAGACATTTCATACGTTCGCTTCTATTTTGTGTACGTGCGCACAGACCCTCGGTACTTTTCTAGACAGAAAACAATATCTTCCGTCTCCCTTTGTCCGTTAACACCGTTTTTATGTTACTTCTGGAGAGTTAGCAAGTATTAGATATATGGCGGCACCAATGACAACATTGTTTTCGTTGGTATTACAACAAAAATCGTATTGACCGCAAAAGAAAATAATTAGTGATGTTCACTGCCTACAATCCTCAGTAATAACAAAGAGTGAATTACTAGAGATTATTGAAAATGCCACCCAAAAAATCAAACTGATTCCGCGCATTCCAATGCTTCCTACTGATTTGCCCTTTACATTCAAACGACTACAGTTTCCTGTGCGTCTTGCTTTCGCGATGACAATCAACAAAGCCCAAGGGCAGTCTCTGCGCGTTGCCGGATTGAATTTAGGAAATCCATGTTTTTCGCATTGTCAGCTGTATGTTGCTTGCTCCAGAGTAGGAACTCCAAAAACTCTGTACGTCTATACACCAAATCGAAAAACCAAAAATATTGTTTTTCCCTTCCTGACATGTAAACAAAATATTCACACACGTTTGAGATGCCGCGTAACAGTGACTTTACGCACCAAATATCGCTTTACCGCCTTTGGGTGCCAAAGTAACTCAATATGCATTAGCCTGTAGAAGCTCTAATAAAAAAAGTTCTGTATAAATAATAAAAGAAAACATACTAGAACACTACTTTACATCATGTTTTGTTCAATCAAAACTTTTGAATGAGAAAAAATGAATTATTTAAAAAAAATCACATGGCGCCATCTCGTGGCTGTCTGTATTATAGATTCCTTTAGTAAACGTCAAGTCCCGAAACTGTCACTTCATTTCGGAAAATATTTTTAAAAAGAAATATTTTTTAAAATAAACTCAATGTCGGGGAAAAAATTGAATACAATTTTCGTGCGTTAGGCATTTTGCAGGTTTCGGTCCCATGCCATCCTGCGCTTCGCGTCGGGTGGCAAATTAGGACCTCAATCTGCAAAATGTTACCTACCTCACTCATTATGTAAATAACTATTACCCACTAGCGTTACGATAGATGTTAGTATTGATTAAAATGTGTTCACGTTGTTTCAGTTATATAGCGAATACAATAGTCAAAAATTTTGTTCATTCACGTGAATTACTAATACAAAAATGTGTACATTGTGTATATTAATGAAAATAAATTTAATAGCATCAATATGAGTTATCTTATTATTCAATTTTCTACAACGCATTCTGCGCTCCAGACCATACATTTATATCCACATATATACAAAGTAAATATATACACAAGCAGGACAACGTCTGCCGGGTTCCGCTAGTAATTTATATTTTTTAAAGAATTTCTCCCTTAGGGGGATCATTTTAGGCACCTTTCCCCTACATAAATAAAACGTAGATTGTTCAATATTTATCCACATCAGTTCTTGTGATGTGGAACGCACATTTTCAAAACTTAAAAGTGTTTTAAGCGATCAAAGGTGTAAATTTACAGTCGAAAATTTAGAGAAATATGTAGTTTGCTTTTGTAACTTATTTTAAATACCTGAATTAATTTTTTATTTTTTGTTAAATGCGACTTGCTTTAATTTGATCACCATTTTTTTGCGATAACTTAGAATTAGTGGACGTAAGTATAGATCGTAGCAAATATTTTTTCCTCCAGGTTTTTAACCTAAACTAAGATTTTTATAACCTAATTCGTCAATTTTGGGACCTAAAAATGTCTCCTTTTATTCATTTTTTAACGACCTAAAATCCGAAGCCAAATTATAAGCAATAAGCTTAAATCGCTGCTGTTTCAGAACTTATGTAACATCTTATGTTAAGCACTTAATTAGTTAATTAATTAATAAGACGTGTAAACTGTAAATAAATTACTATAAATAAGTTAATCGACATTTCTCTTGATTGAAAATAATTATTTTAAATACTAAATGCACTTTTCTAATATTTTTTACATTTAAATGCGCTGTGAAATTTCATTTCTGCAATATTTTCCATTTTTAAAGTCAGTCGGTGCGGACACTTGTAGTTACCTATCTAAAGAAGGATTTTTAAAATTAAAACTACCATAAAAGGAGTGGATTCGAAATTATTTGGACAAACAAAAGTCCCCGCAACTTTTTTCATAGAGTGCCCTGACATGTCAAATTTGACAGTCAGTGAAGTCAAAGTATTTGCTGTCATATTCTTTAACTATAATTGTTGTTTCTTTCCTAGTTTAAATTATGCAGCAAAATCAATAAAGAGCGCGTAAAGATATTTTGCGCACCCATTCACAAAATAAACAAATGTCACATCGAGCAATAGGAAAACTACTAGGTGTCGGTCATTCCACGGTTTCAAATGTTCTTAAAAATTTTCGCGAATGTTTGAACATTGACCACAAACCAGAAGCTGGTCGAAGACCAGGTCCTGTGTCGAAAGAAAATGCTCAAAAAGTTGTACAAACATTTCGAAGAAATACCAATTTATCAATTAGAGATGTAGCAAAGAAGGTGGATGTGTCACATTCTTTTGTACAAAAAACTAAGTAAAGAAAAGATTTGAAGCCATTCAAAGTACAGAAATGCCCTAATCATGGTAAAAAACAAAATTTGGTCGCCAAAACTCGAAGTCGAAAATTGTACACCCAATTTTTGATAAAATCAAAATGCGTTGTTATTAACGATGAAACTTCTGTCAAAGGAGACTATAAACAAATCAGTGGCCAAGAATATTATACAGCCGACTGGATGTAGACCCAAAGTACAAACAAAAAAAATTGCAAAGTTTGCAAAGAAATTCTTAATATGGCAAGCAGTCTGCACTTGAGGAAAACGGAGTGACGTCTTCGTAACAGTAGGATCTATGAATAAAGAAATTTACAGACAATAATGTTTTCAAAAGCGACTTTTACCTCTCCTTCAAAGTCATGAAGAACAGTCGCTGCTTTGGCATGACCTGGCCACATGTCATTATGTTCAAGATGTTATGAATTGATATGAGGAAAACGAAGTGAATGTTGTACCGAAAAGTATGAACCCACCTAATTGCCCAGAGTTACGCCCGATTGAACGGTACTGGGCTATAATCAAAAGAAATCTCCAGAAATCCTAAAAAGAAGCAAAAAGTGCAGAAACAATGAAAACAATGTGTAAAAAATATAAAATAACTGTTACTAATACGACTATACAAAATTTAATGAGACATGTAAAACGAAAAGTACGAGCTTTTGGGTATGGGATTTAATTTTGATAAAATAATGCATTATTAGTAATTGTCAAGTGTTCTTTCACGTGTCGTAATTTTTTTTATATTTTTATTATAAACGTTTTGTAAATAGTGAACGTTTTTTTATGTCCAAATAATATCGAATTCAGTCCTTACTTTGAACAATGTTTTCCTTTTATTTTTAGAAGTGATATAAAGTTGGACCTTGCCCAACGAAAAAACTAAAAACAAACTGCCTTCAAAAACCAGTTTATTGAGAATAGTCGTTGAGTGCAGAATAATCAAAATTTTCCGCAATTATCGACTGATGTTTGTTTCAGATTCTTGAATAACATTTCTGTTTTTGAATGTTCGAATCGATTTTTTAAATATTCCTATGCTCGAAGGTAAAACTAGAGATCAAAGTATATTAATAAAATAAATTCTATGACTTTGACTTCTTTGCTACCTTTGGCAACAAAGAATGCAACTTTTAGATGCCAATTTATGACAGCACCAAACTAAAGAAATTATCGTGTCATAACAACCAATTAAAAAAAATTTAAACAAATAGATAAAACGAAGTAAAATATATAATTTAAAACAACAAAAACAATTTCAAAGAACCAGTTTCATCACATCTTTATTAGCAACTTAACTGATAATTCACATACGATTATCGTTCACGGATTACCAAAAAGCTCCGTCTTCGACACCTTTTTCAACACATTTTCAAAAATCGCGGTAAAAATCTTCCCAAAAGCCTCTTCATAATTTGGCTTAACCTCCGCAAACACTTCCGACCAGTTGTCATTCAAAACTTGATTAATGTTATCCCCGAGAATTTTATCTCCATCAAACAAATTATCCATCCGGAATTTCATCAACTGCGGCATCAAGATGAGCTTGTTGTCGACGACCTTATAATGTGTCTTCCCGTTTTTCTCGTACTCTTCGAGACTGAAAGTGAGATGAAGGCTCAAATTATCTAAAAACGTTCATTAATAATAATAGTTTTATAAACGAAGACTTTCATACGCATCTCGATAAACCCAGGACCTTTCCCAACGATGGGCAAAAGAAGAAGTTTGCCATTAACTTCGTAGTTGTAGTCCAGTCTAGCCAGGTCTGCTCCACAGTCTATAGTCAAAGTGTTGGTGTCGAAATTCATCCTAACAATAACTCGTTAACTAAGTACTATTTTAACAAAAATTCGAAACTCACTCCGCTTTGGAACAATTAGCTCTCGAAAATCCGCTAACTTTTAGATTTTGGTAGTTTTGTTCGAAAGCCACAGCTCCTGACCCTTTTTCAAATACCAGCAACGGTATTTCTAGTGGTTCTAGTCTTGCTAAAGCAATCTCTTTCACTGGGTTTGTAGATCTTGCAAGGGCATCTTCGATGGCAGCCGCCAGACACTTGTCAAACTTGTCATTTTTTCGGTCGCATTTCTTCAAAAAACTCGCTGGAAAGTTTTATTTTAAAAATTTGGGGCTCGAAGTATTTGTACTATTATTTACGTATCTCAACCGAGTGGCAAGTGGTTAAAATAAGAGCACAAATTAAGACTGTGAGATGCATGGGTGCGACTACTGTTTTCATAAGTGAGTTTTTCTTTTTATGGGATATTTATAGTTTCACATAAATTAAAATAAAATAAAACAAAAGTCGTCACTGGTTTACCTTTTGGGTTAAAACCTATAAAAAAAAACTGATTTATGGTAATTTATGTATACAGTTTGAGAACTGATTTAATTTCGTATTCCTTATGCGCGAAATGGTATTTATTAATGGGGCAATGCAAATTTGAAGTGCTACTGATCGTACTGCCACTGTGTATCGCGAAAATATTCCAACGTGAATCGCTGCCCGAATTTTTGCTGAATTTTGAAGAAAGCTGGACTTTGAAAATTATGAGGCCTTCCAAAGAAGACTGGACTTAGAAAAATTGGTAGAAAGTGAAACTGAAACGTAAGAATGGGTATAATGCTTAGGTTGAACAATTTAAAGAAAAGTGAGCCTAGAATTTTAACACTATAATATGGTTCATTTATTTAAATGTACAAAACATCAACAAAATTAAACATTCAGATACTATTTTTCACCTGTCAATCTTTTTTTTCTAATCAACCCACTCTTCTTTTTTTATCAAAACTAAGTTCCGTTACAAACTCACCCTCTAAACAACACAAACGGCCCTCCGGTGTTGTTTAGGATGAAACATTCTTTTTAAGACGACCCCTCCTCCGTTTTGGTATTAAGGGCGTTTTAATCACTTCCAGTCCCTTCAACAAACGGGCTGAGGTCCGCGGCATGATAGCGTCCAATTCTTTCTGGAAGATTTGTACAGCTTCCTAACTCGTAGGTTGTAGGAGAAGCAATTCGCAAGATCATATAAGGACCATGCCTTTTTGGGGCAAGCTTTGAAGAGAATCCACTTTTGGAGCTACTGAGAGTATGAGATTTCAGGAGAATCTTGTCACCCTTCTTGAATACAGCTGGTCGTCGTCTGGAATCTAGGCGGGTTTTCTGGACATCTTGTTTCTTGCAATTTCTATCCATTGTCTCAGACAGAGTAGTAGCTAGCTTCTGTAGGTAAGGAGTTATTCTTGGTATGAAATTTTCTGCATCACTTTGTGTAGATCATATACAGGATCATAAGGAGCTCGTATCTCCCTACCAAATGTGAGAAATGAAGGACCATATCCCGTAGAGTCGCAACATGTAGAATTTATGGCGAATCGAATGCTGCTCAGGTGATGATCCCTTTCTGAGTAGTGATCTTGAACCAAAATGGCTAACTGAGTCATCAATTCGCGGTTCTTCCGTTCAACAGGGTTACTCTCTGCATGATACAAAGAAATGAACGGAGTTGTGATACCAAAACAATAAGTAATTTACTGCATTTCATCACTGATAAATTGTACGCCGTTATCAGAAATCATTTTCCTCGGAGTTCCAAACCACAGGAATATTTCTTCGATGAGAATTTTTGCACAAGACTCGGAGTCAGCTTTTACTAATGAGAAAAGTTCTACCCATTTTGAAGCAACATCCTCAATTATTAGGATCCATCGATTCCCCCTGGGAGTTGCCGGTAGAGGGCCAAATAGATCTACAACCACAATTTCGAATCTCTGGGAAGGGGCTGGGGTTTGAAGTAGGCCCGCAGGTTGACGATTCTCTGGTTTATATCTCTGGCATTCCATACAACCTTTTACATGGCGAGCAATATATTTTCTCATATCTGTGAAGTAATATTTTGAAGAGATCTTTTGAAGGGTTCTTTCGATGCCGTAGTGTCCCCTTGTAGGCAAATTATGGTATTGGGCCAAAACATCTTCACGCAATTCTTTGGGAATCACTAACTGGGAGTCCACATATGGGTTGAAACGGAAGAGAACACCATTGTTCATCACGTATCCCCTCCCAGACCATCTAGACATCTCTAACGGATCTTCACCTTCGAGAGATAATATAATAATCTTGATCTCGTCATCTTCCATTTGTTTCTGTCGCATAGATTTAGCATCGTATGACGGTAGGTCAACACTAACGAATTAGCTCTGTACCTTTTCTTCTTCATCCGAGCAAAAAGGTCGAGACAACAGATCAGCTACTACCTTGATTTTACCAGGAATATATACAACGTCCACACTCATGCCTTGGAGGCGGAGCCCCAACGACCCAAACGACCCGAAGGCGATTTTAAAGTCAGCAACCATCGTAATGGTTGATGATCCGACGCTATAACCACTTTCGCACCTTATAGATAATGTCGAAATTTTTCTACAGCCCATACTACGGCGAGCGCCTCTCTTTCCGTAGTTGAATAATTTTTCTCGCTGTCCTTTAACAAGCGACTGGCGTATTCTATCGGATGTTCGTCGTATTTCTCCCCCTGGAGTAAAACTGCACCCAAGGCGTAACAACTTGCATCTGTTCTAAGGATATAGGTACGGCTTGGTCTGATCAGCTTGAACAAGGACTGGAGCGGTAGTCAATCTTTCTTTTAACGTCTCGAAGGCTCTTAATTCGGCTTCACCAAACTGAAAAGACGCATTTTTCTTAAGAAGATTAGTTAAGGGACGTGCAATTTCGGAGCACTCTGAATCAAACTTGCGATACCAACTACATGTCTGAATGAAACTTTGCAGCTGTTTGCGATTGTTTGGAGGTCTCAACAGTTTGATAGCTGCTATTTTGTCAGGGTTAGTTTTAATTCCATCACTGGTCAGTATATGTCCGAATTTGACCGAGTCGCAGAAGAACGAGCACTTCTCACGTCTAACATGAAGACCAATAAGTTTTAAACGCGAAAATACTGTTTTTAAGTCTATTATGTGCTTCTCGAAAGTTTCTGAAAGTACCAAGATGTCGTCTATATATACGAACACTGCAGTGTCCTTCAAACCGGATCTAAATCTGTCCATCAATCGAACGAATGTCGCGGGCGCGTTTTTCAACCTGAAAGGTATTGGATTGAAGTTAAACGTCTCAAATGGAGTCACAAAGCAAGTTTTGTCACGATCTTCTTCAGCAACAGGAACTTGCCAGTAACCTGCTTGTAAATCAATTGTAGACATGAATGGTGTATGTTTAGCGATGTGAAGAATATCGTCTATTCGCGGCATTGGATGACTATCGCTTACTGTTACTGAGTTTAGCTTACGATAATTTACGCAAAGACGATACCTGTCTCCTTTTGGAGTTAAAACCACAGGGCTGGACCATGGTGACTCGCACTCTTCTATAATTCCTTGTGTTACTAATTCAATTCATATGTGTGGAGTGAGTGAGTGAATCTCGCGATTATTTCTGCTCCGCTTTCTTTTGAATTTCGATGGTGTTATAAGACGATAAATTTTTATATAAACACATCATAGTGTTCCGTAAGTTTTGCTTTTTATTGTGATATAACTCATTGTTAGACGCAAAGCTGAAGTGTTTAAATTAATGCAATTTGTGACAACTTATGCTATTTTACGCTATCTTTAAGTGGCCTGAACACTTTTTACAAGTAGTTAGAATCTTTTTTGCGTCTGCGTACTTTATTAGGTAATTTTTATTCAACTCAATATTAAATATTGTCGGATTGTTGCAATTCCTATAAGGCAGAGGTGTAATTTTAGCACCTTATTTACATATCCACTCACTATATATTTTTTTCTTTCTTTCTCATTACTAAAATGACTGTTCTATGTAAAATCTGTAATGGAGCAGTAACTCCTACTGTACCTGCAATGAAATGTAGCTCGTGTGCTATTCACTTCCATATTAAATGTATAGGTATTGATAAGCCCATTTTGGTATAATTAAATCTTTAAATGGAGTCTCCTGGAAATGTGATAACTGTTGCTCATTAAATAATACCACCGAGGCAGGACAGTGCAATTGTTGTAAATTACTTCCAAATTTAGTTGAAACTATTAACAAACTTAGTGAAACCGTTAATACATTGCAGCAGCAACTCCTTAATTTTCATTCTAATAGATCCAACGAAGAAACCATCATTCAGGAGGTTAATGAAAGGCATAAACGGGCTAAAAACATAATTATTTTTGGCAGTGCCGAAAAGGCTGATGTGTCGATTGACGAGCAAATTGAACAAGATCGCTTATTCATTCATCAGATCCTTGAACAACTAAATTTACCAGTTCAACCTAATGAATTGAATGTCCGTAGAATCGGTAGACGCAATCTTGTAAATCTACGTCCAAGGCCTATCAGAATCACTCTTAAATCCGAATCCGACGCTCATATGATTGTCAGAAAATTTCAAAATCTACGCAATATAGATCTTTACAAAAATATTTCAATGAATTATGACAAAACGCCTAAGCAGATTGCGTATTATAAATCTGTGAAGCAAGAATTGACAGATAGAATTAGTCGTGGTGAAGCAAATTTAAAAATTAAATATATTAATGGCACACCAAAAATAGTGACTTTAAACTAGCTTGCTCACTCAGTTATGATGGTAAATTCTTACAGTGCTATTATCAGAATGTTAGAGGTTTATGTACTAAATCTGTTGAATTTTTTAATTCTGTATCATCCAATTATTTTGATCTTATAGCTGTTTCTGAAACTTGGTTAAAGTCAGATATTTTTGACAATGAACTTTTCCCACATAATTTTGTTGTACATCGTAATGATCGTAATTTAGCTGAACTTGGTTTGTCCAAAGGTGGTGGTGTACTTTTAGCAGTCAGTAATCAATATAACTCTACGAAGTTAGATCTTTCGTCCATTACAAGCTTGGTTCCTATTGTAGATATTGTAGGTGTTAAAATCACCGGTAAATTTAGTCAAAAATTACTAATCTTTGTTTTATATATACCACCATCAATTACTCTAGCAGAATTTGAGTTATTTTTTGAAACATTCATAAATCTAGATATTATACAGAATGAAAAATTAATAATTCTGGGCGACTTTAATACGCCTGATTTTAGCCTTAGTCTTAAAACTAATTCAAACTTAGTGTTAAATAATTTTAAAGAATTCTATAATATTTCACAGTACAATAATGTAAGTAATAGTATGGGTCGGCTTCAAGACTTGGTTTTTTCTAACTTGCAGTGTAGTGTCACAAAATCT